AGAGTTTTTTAACAAACATGTCTTAGGATTGGAAGGATTTGTATTATTTTAAACAGCAAAATAAGCCTCGTTGTCACTTCAAAACTGATTTAATTTCGCTCAGAATATTTCAAAATTGGAAAACCTATTAACACTTTTACCAAGCTAAATATCCACCAAACACAGTCAATAACGAAATTTTATTCCTAACAACTTTAAAATGAAATTCAAACTTTTCCAAAAACATTTCTAGAACTGAAGCGCTATATTTAAAACTAAACGGGATCGAGTAACGTGAAAAATTCAGTCGTACTTCAGTGGATTAGGTAAATGGTTCGAGAGATGCACGGCTATGTGAAAAACCTTCGTTGTAGGTACTGTTCTAACAAATTTACGTATCATATGCAAACGAACATATTCAGGATATGTTCCTGTATGTTCATTATGATTTGTGGGTGAATATTAATAATGTAGTATTGTATTTGCTTCGTAGTACGAAGAAGTAATGTATTAGACTATTAGACTGAATTTCCTCTACGTTTAAAAAGTTTTTATGTATCGAGTATCTATTAGGTCACAATGTAAAGATTTTAAAAGAAGATAGCAAAAAGTAGATTTATATGGGAAATGTTAACTTTGAAATAGTTTTATCATATCAGTCATATACACACACACACACTTATACACATAATTATTATTCAGAAATAATTTTAGTGAATGTAATAATGGGAAAATTAAAAGAATTGTGTCATTTATTGAATTAAATTTGAATAATTATTATGTTTTCGGCTTACTCATTTGATTATTTGACGAGGAACTCGACTAGTTTGAAGCCATGCTAGAGGCTCATATTCATGAGCAGCATTCCACGACCCGCGACGCGGTGACATCGCGCTGCTAATTTACAAAACTTTATATTATTGGTTGGATCAATTATTCAATTAAAGAGCTCATATTATGTTTTGAAATATTCACAGAAGTGTAAAAAAGATTATTGCTAGGTAAAAACTGAATTCATTTTTAAGAAAAAAAGAAAACAATAACGCTATTTCTAATATGCTAGAAAAAATATGACAAATTCAAATAATACTGGCCCATTGGCCGAATAGTCGCAAGTATGACTGCTGGGCAAGGGGTCTCGGGTTCGATTCCCGGGTCGGGCAAAGTATTAGGTACTAGGTTTGTAAAAACCTCAGTAGTAGCACGATGTCTGGAAATGTGCCCGGTATATGGCAATAGGCTCACCCCCTATTACATGGGACTCATAACATAAATAGTGAAAAGTGGGTGTTACTTCTGTGTGCACCTCTGCCTACCCCTTCGTGGTTGAAAGGCGTGATGTTATGTTATGTTATGTCAAAAATACTAAATACGTTTGTAATCAAACCAAATATCGTTTGTTAATACAAAAGAATATTATAAAAACATATCGTTAGGGTGAAAAATATACGACTTTTTTGTCAGTGATCTAAATTTGGGACTGACACAGTACGATATTTAATTCATGGTTCGTAAACCTGACAACAATGAGAATTGTCACCCATTACAATGTATTGTATGTATTGTATAACTTGTATAATGTTGTATAAAAAGTTTTTACATCATAAAACGATAATAATACACATGTATATAAATGAAATGGGACATTTTGATTTGAAGACAGTCTTTTTCAGCCATTACTAATACTTGGGTCTGTTCTAAACGTAAAGCAACTGGGCCTCCGGTAATCTCACTCACACGACAACGTTTGTTGTTTCACGTCGGTTTTCTGTGAGGTCGTGGTATCACTCCGGTCGAGGCGGCTCAGTCGTGCATAAATGGGATAAATAATTATAAGCTTCAGTATTCTAAGAATAAAGCCTATTCTCGCAAGTAGTCTTGGGATACTGGTCATTTACTGAAGGTACTTTTACTAACTATTCATTGGTAATACCGTATTTGAGTTCATTAGACTTAAAATAATAAAGTAGATAATAACATAATTAACGTTTACTTCTCTTCAATACAAAGAAACAAATTAGCTTATTTTTTAATTTGAAACTAATTAACGTAAATTGGAAAACGATGTCTTATTTTTGAACACAATTTTGAATCTACTTTGTTTAGCAGTATCACTTTATTCACATTTTACTTGATAATCAGACTTAGAAAATTAAATATTAATTTGACATTATAATGCTTAAAATTTTAACTAGCATTGAAGTGCGTGTAGTAGGGAACTTTACGATCACTTGAAGTTACTAAAATAAATATACCTAGTTCTACGTTCTTATTTATTTGTTATAACAACTACTCTAAGATAAAGTCAAAGTCAAAGTTAAAGTCAAAGCATTTATTTCAATTAAACCATAGTTTGGTACTTTTGAAACGTCAACAAATACAAAATAAATAATAGTCTGTCAGTCAGTCCGTCAGTGAAGCTAGGTGAAGCTAGGTGCTCATTCCAAAACGTAGATTCGAATGGAGAAGAACGAGCAAGAAACTCCATTCGTTACTCTTTTAAAAAAGTATGTTCTACAATGTCTCTGATACATATTTCAATACTGTACGCATATGTAAGAACAATGCAAAGACACGCTTGACGCATTATACTACTAACTTACTAAAATAAAAATAAAAATAATAAAGATCTTAAGTCCAACATGGTGCTCACATATGCATACTGACAATCCATAGAAATAGTGCTTCTATACAAGAAAAAGGAAACTCTTTGTTTCAATAAAGAAAGAAATGCTCGATGCCATAAGGAAACTAGATTGTCTACATTAGAATTAAAGTATTAAATTATGTATTATATTACCTACTATTGGAATTTAACTACTGACTACATTTGAGTATTGTCCAGTGGAGCCGAACCAACATGCTGCCAAGCATTCTTATCTTCAAGATAATCTGTCAGTGTGTAGTAAGCTTGATTACATAATTCGCGCTTAATATATGTTTTAAATTTACTTTCATTGAGATCTAGTATGCTATTTGGAATTTTATTATAGCATTTAATACCTAACCCGAAAACCCGATAATCAGAATAACAAATATTTTTGCATCAAAAAAATTGGTAGTTACATCTTTGTACTTCAATTAATATCAGACATTTCCCAGAATGTTAGAATTCGTTAAATTCCACTCCACACCAATTACTTTCTCGATATTCACAAATTCAATAAATGAATCAATAAAAACACAATCAACCCAATTCAATTGAGGCAAATTACTTGCTTATTTGTCTTTCACAATATCAAACTAATATCTCTACTAAGAATTCTTTAGCAATACCAAGCATGTCTTCTTCATATTTCAATATTCTAAGAAGCTACGCTCCGGCTTACTGTTTGAGCCACATCTCCGTTTCTTTTGTTCCTATTTCCTTACTGCAATATTGCCATGACATCCAGTGTAACTTAACCTCCCTGATTGCCACTACACACTGGCGACATGAAGCAAAAGTTATTTATTTCCTCCTTTAATGAGGTACCAACATTGGCTGGTCATGTTATTCAAATTGTTACATGTCTCGATTGCGAATGTTTTCACCATTCATATTTATGATGGCAACCTTTATTGTTTTCTGTCATAAAAGATATTTTAAGAGTCTTGTGTTGTATTTTTAGCATAATTCGCTTTTGTATTGAGAGACGGTGGTTATGATTTTTTTAACATTTCTCTAAGCGGTTTTCTGAATTGAGAGCACGTTTGCAAAACGAAAAAGACATTATGCTCCATTTATTCATTGAGATATATTGAGGTGTGATTAGTTGTTATTGTTATTTTGTAGCTTAGACTACGTTTTATTTCCAAAGGACTATCAAAATATTGTAGCTACCACTCCATTTAGATATTCTTATAATTTATCAATCGACCAGTTCCTTCCTGGTAGCACTGATTTAATATAATGAAGATGGACGTCATAAAATATTAATCACCTGTATATAAGGGTGCGTCCATACCTGGCGAATGTTCCGCGAATGTTCAGCTCGCGAGAAGCTTGCGAGCTGCGCGCGTGCATTACAAAAAATAATATTTGTATGAGCCTTGCATGAGTTTTAATAAAGAGGCTCACCAGACCATTGCCATAACTGCACGCGCACAGCTCGCGAGCACTTTCGCCAGATGTGGACGCACCTTTATATATATGAAATTATACCAAAACAAAAACAAGGAGTCACGAATGGTTGTTTAAATATTTAGATATCGGAAACCTTCTATTACGGTCAATTTTGATCTCGTTAAAAATTCACAAAGTCAGTTTTGTGTTATTTTCTTTGCGAATATTATAGGGTACCTTTACCTTGTGATTTATGTTGTATAGGGTGTGTACTGTGTATTTTGCTCACTACATTATTTATGGTAAATACATTTGGAACACTCTATTGGTTGGTAGTAGTTTGGTTTGTGTGTTTGTGGAGTTCATATTTCCAGTCAACAGTCATTACTATGGACTGTAATGAAAAAAACGAAATACAAAAAAACTGTTTTATTATTTTATCATATCTTAACTCGTCGAGTACCGGTTTTGTAGACACAATTATAGAACAATAGGTTGCGGTCACCGGTGACCGCTTGGTGTTTGACAGTTTAAATCAAAGACTGTAAGATAGTAGATATTTTTTTCATTTTACCAAACAAAACTCCTAGAATAATTGCATATTATTAAAAATCCTATTTCGCCTAAGGTATGTCGAGTGCTTTGTCCATTTAAACTTACTAAGATTGTCTTTTCTTTTTTAAATGTGCAAGCAATACCATATAAATATATTAGTCTAAAAATAAGTGTTAATTACAGATAAACTATAAAAACAGTTGCAGAAGTTTTCGATACGCTGATAACCAGTTCATCAATACAAAGATAAATTACTAACAGTTAACTTCTTAATCGAATCCGAATTAAAATTAATGAAAACGTTTCATTTTCATTGTCCACACATAACATATCGTTATTTGTTAAAAAAATCAATATCAACAAAAAAGTGTAACATATAAATCCTGAAAATCTTTTTCCCGGAACTGAAACCAATACTAAAATGGAAGAGCTGCCTGAAATTTCAAAAGAGTTCATCGAACCGATATTGCCATGTCTGGGTTTATTGAGAAATGTTCATATTTTGATTTATGCACATGGTAAACCTTTTTGGAACGAAAAATGTCATTTGACCTTGAACATAGTTTCAGTTGTAACTTATCTATTTTCCTTGACTATGTATATGGGAAAAGTTTTTAGAGGAGAACTACAACTTGAGGAGTTAGCTTATGTTATCAGCGTTTATGTCGTCAGTGTACAAGGTAAGTTTAGTTTAGAAATAGTGTTTATTGTTGAACAAACCATATCTGAATTTATTCTATTTGTTAAAGTCAAAAATATTACTCTATACTCTGCATTACTATTCAAACATCACGTCGACCTCGTTCTCACTTCACAAAACTCTCAAATATACCCAGAACATCCCAATTTCCCTTACATTTTTCCTGCATATAATATTTTCTCTAAATTCAAAGAATAAAAGACGTTTTCGCCTACGTTTTATATCAACACCTTGCATACGGAAACATGCTGTATAATCTTAACTGAACTCTGAATTTCTCAGCCATCCTCAAAGGTTCGGTTGTCGTCCTTTACAAGAAGGAAATAAGGGCTATAATCCTGCAGCTGGGAAGTATGTGGAGGGTGGAACATCTAACTGAAGTACAGATTAACAAGAAGAATACGTTACTGAGGAGACTAAAGTTCTGTTATGCAGGTGGGAACTCGCATTTTAATATACGACTTTTGTAAACTAAAGTTTTGTAGTAATTCTGACCAAGGGAGCTCTTAGTAACGTTGGGTATACAGCTAATTGAGATTTGTACTTAAAAGTTCTTCAGGCAGGTGGCTCTACTTGAAATTAATTAGGTCGAAAAGGATTACGTTGAGTGGCGTTCAAGAGGTACCTATATCCAGTAATTTATAAATTCCATTAAAAAGAAGATACATAATTCTATAATAAATAGTAAAATTTAATCTTTGCATAATATAAAAAATAAAGTGCTAATAATAGTTTTCGCTTAGTTGTCGAATTAAGTTATGTTGTTAATGTTTACTGCCAACCAGGAATTTTATTGCCAAACTGTAACGCAGCTTTGAGAAGGAAATAAAATTATCGAATGTCTTTTAATAAATATATTTGCAAGATCGAGTTAATCAATTATCATTATTTTATCTTGTATAAGAATCTATATGAATGTACTTACGCAACGTGGACATTGCAAATAGCAATATTTTTATAACAAACGAGACGTTTGTTCGATTGGTAAAAAAAATAACTTGGAACGACTAAAATTATTCAAAAGATACTCAAATTATTTCCTAGAAAGTCATTGACTTCGTCAACATTCAAAGAATCTTCTACATCTTTGACGTCATCGTTTTCGAATGTTCTACGTTCCACAACACGAGTGACAATGGTCGGGTTACACAGACATTATGATCTTCCAACATCATAACTCCTTTTGTCAATGTTATCATTCGCGCAAAAGTGGTTTCTTTACTACTTGTCTGATATTGTTTAGTACAATAGTTCTTGTCGTCTTTATGGTGGCGCTGTGATAAAAGTTCTAAGAATCGGAGTAGATGCTTCAGAATAAAGGTATTGTTTAGTGATTGATTTCGTATGGGATATATTTGCAACCATAGTTTAGTAGATATTTCTGTCAAGTAAAATATCTTTAAATCAAAACAGAAAACAAAATAATAGTCAAAGATTAATTTAAAACCTATCTATATAGCAATATTTAACTCTGCTGAATTTATTATTCTGAAATGATTAATAACACTGCCTCGTTGGCCGATTGGTGGCAAATGCGACTGCCAGGCAAGGGGTCTAGAGTTCGATTCCTAGGTTGCGCAAAGTATTACTGGGTTTTTTTTAATCTTAGTATTAGCATGGCGTCTGGAATTGTGTCCGGTATGTAGCAATAGGCTCATGCCCTAATACATGGGGGTCATAACATAAATAGTGAAAAGTGGGTGTAACATTATAGAGGTACAATAGCATTAAGTGTCGTAATATGCACCTCTATCTACCTCTTCAGGATAAAACGCGCGATGTTATGTTATGTGATTAAAATAAATTAGGCCCTCAAACTTATTGAAAATTAACGCTACATGCAAATACCATCATAAACTTCAGAGTAAAAACTCTAGAGGAATCTGGGGAATATAAATATTAAAAGTTGATTTAAAAACTACAAGCCCGCACTCAAATTACTTTACACGCATAATTACATCACAAACAACCTCTGAGTCTGCAACAAGAATCTTTGAACAACTTTGCAACCACTTTATAGCACGTTACTGCAATGTAATTATTTTCCTTGCAGTTTTCTACTGGATTAATATGATTGGATCTTGGCAATACATACTGGCTCCTTTATTGGAAACAGTTACCCGCAAATTTATTTTACTGCAGGAATGTGGGCTGTTACTTCCATTTTCTTGCAGCTTTCCTTTTGATCCTACTGGGAACTGGGCAAGATATATCGGTGTATATATTTTTGAGACTTACAGCAGTAAGTGGGGCTTTATTGTTGTTGGAGAACTATTGTCCTTTAGGGACACTTCTTGATTTATCATTTCGTTGCTTTTTCTTAGTAGGCTAGAGTTAAGGTGTAAGATGTAACTAGCACCGCTTGTGCGAAACGTGTATCGCTTCATTGATTAGTGCACATAGCTTCAAATCGTAGATAATTATTGCTTATTATAGTATAATATCCCAGATCATCGACTGTCTTTTAATTCTTACAATATAATCCTAAGGGATTCTAAAATTCTATCGTATATATTATTTTTTTATAACTATAAAAAGAATACACAATAAAGAGATGTTTATAAAGAAGAACTCATCTATTTTTATAATAACTATCGTGACATACTAAATTAGCAAAAAATCGCGGGTTATTTACGTAGGCTACGCGATATAGCCGCGCTGCTCTTAAGGAAGGACCCTTCTAAGGTTCGTAACTCTTAGAGCTTTTCTCAGTATTTTCACGTGAGTACCCGCGATATTTAGTTAGTTAAGAACTCACCTCTCACTCTCTCTTTCTATCTCTATTTAACTTTCTCTCTGTATGTGTCAATCATATTTTGAATAACAGGTACCTATATTCCCAATAATATTAATTACAATATCTCTTTATACTCATACCAATATGCACAAAGATTTACTTATTTTTAATTTTTCCAGTATTTACATTGATATTTGTTTAATAGACCAGAATTCTAAAAACCCATTTCATTGGTTTGCTATAGATAGTGCTATTATTTGTAAATTAAATATTTTTACACTTGAAAAAACAAGTTTCATTTTAACAAATTCAAATAATAAAATTCTAAACGACTGCGTAATCAGAATCGAAGATGAATGTTTCATAAAAACTTATATAGAATTTTGAGTTGTAATAACACCTGTTAGAGTATTTGTTTGTCTATCAAAGTACTATATTAATTCTAGACCAGCACTTGTATGAACTCATTAAATCTAAATCATTCTAAAAATTTTATAGTGGTGGATTTATGTAAGATCTCCATTATCGGTCACATCATCACTTACCATTAAGTGGGTTATTGGCCAACTCCGACCTAATAAATATAAAAAATGAGAAAAATATTCATAAAAAACGTGTCATTATTTTTGAAAATTTCACGTTATAGTCATTTTATATTTGCGCAAAATTCCAAATATTTACTTTAGAATAAAACACGATTTACCTATAATCGTCCCCAAATATTGTTGCTATTCCAAACATTACGCTGTTTACCTTCACAGCCGCAAATTCCACTAATTTTTGCCAACAATTTAACCAAAATAATATTCTAAAATTACCTGCCAACAATTTTCTGTAGAAGGATGTTTAAAAATCTTATTAAAATTTCAAACACACAGTCTTAATTTGGTCCCAACGTCGGAACCCTTTTGAACTATTTTGAGAGAGGTGAAATTTCAAAAATTCCTTTCTTCCTTCAAGTCTCGTGTAATGAGTGAAGTGTGCCTTAAATTTTCAGGAGTCAACGGTTCTCGGAAAGCTTGATTAATCGCAAAGGACCTTTTGTGAAATTCGCACTAGTATTTGACTTTGCTTTAAATATGTGGATTATATGTGACCCGAATTTGTTGTCAGCGAAAACGTTCTTTAGTCCCTTTTTAGAATTAAGAATGTATTTCGGAAGTGTTATTATAAAAATGAACGAACTTCGGAAATGTTAGTTTCGTGCAGTGCAATTTTATGAAACTGTTAATTTAGTAGTAATACTATATTTACAGCAACGCATATTTTGATACTTTAAGTTAGACAGCACTTAGTATTACTTTCATCATCAACAGCCTGTTTTCGTCCACTGCTGGACTTAAGCCTCTCCAATGGCACGCCACTGAGCTCGGTCTTCAGCTCTACGCATCCAACCACTACCAGCCACTTTACGTATATCGTCACTCCACCTAGCTGGAGTGCCCGCTCCGCCCTACACTACGTTTGCCTATTATTACTTTTTATCATATCTATTTTTTTGTAATGTTATATTGTTCAAATAACGTTAAAACTGTAATTAAAACATTTAATTATGCTGATGTTACCCTCTTTTCCAGTGTTTAGAATCATCTACGTCTACCTAGGAACAGAATTTCTCATGATTACCTTATGTTCTCACTTGACAACTGCATTCACGTTGCTCCAAGAAGATTTACTAAACAATGAACCAGGAAACTTTAGAAATCTGAAGACTATAATTGTTCATCATCAGAAATTGATAAGGTAGTGTTATTTTACTGACATTGACGATTAATAATATAACTGACATTTGATGAATGGATTTCACTCAATTTGATAGCGAAAAATAATTATAAGATTTATATACATAGCCTTTAGATAATATTCCAAATATAATATGAGTTTTTATTGAGTAACTACTACCATACTTGCTTAATGTGGTAGTTACTCAATAAAAACTGTATTTGCATGATCTACAAATTGTTGTATCTGAGTGTGATGGAAAGCCCTAACATGTGATTTCATTTGAAAGAGTTTTGTGGTAATTTTTGAAGTGTTTGCCTACTATTAAAGTAAAATGGCATTATAATTGATATCGAATAGTTTAAATCAAATCAGACTAAGATTAATCTATCTAAATAAATCATAGTACAATTCATATTATTGTTGCCAATAGCAATCTAAAGCCATAGTAAGTAAAATATAAGAATAGAAGAAAGGTATATGACTGAGTAAGTATCCTTTCAATCATGCATTGATTTAATCCATCAATGTCAGACTATACTGGACACAAAGACGTAAGCTTTATTATAGTTTTAATCTAAATGACCGCCATTTTGAAGAAAAGACTCCTTCAAAAAATGATACAGTTTTGCTTTGCAAATAAATATTGTAATACATACAATGAGGGACAGATCCGCCTGATCATTTAAAAATTGTAATCCTAGAATCTGACAAAACATTAAGCCACACCCCATAAATGCCTTAACTAATAGAAAAGTGACAATGTCGTAGCTTAGTGACGCAACCCTTGTAGTCCTGTCGCGGAGAACCTAACGGATAACCGGGGCTCCGACTCGACGTGCAGGAGAAGGAACGGGGTGGTTTTTAGTCAGTAAGAGTCTGACACTCCCTCCCGCCTCACCCAAGCGGGAGCAGTCATTCGATGATTTTCCCCCCTTAAAAAAAAACCCTTGTAATCCTTTAGTCAGTGGTGCGTTTGATGTTGTTCTGCTATCTACGCCGGCACCAGCCCTGCCTACCAACCAGCTTCATTCATCAATTCAAGGTCATGGAGCGAGGCTAGAGAGCGGATCTCATCAAGTGCAAGAAAACATTAACTTATTGGTTGTTAGGCGGATGTGCCCCCCATTATACCTTATAAAGGTTGCAGGGAGCTTCAGGTTGCTGGTCGCTTCCAAGTGGCCGATCTAAATATCACAGGGAAGACCTATTTAGAGCAATGGACAGATTGTAGTTTTGTTGCTGATAATGGTGATTTTCTTACAGCATATCAAAACAATTGGATGATATTTTCAATAAAGTCATATTCGTCAATTTATCTTCAGCGAGTATTTCGATGTGTTTCTTCGGATTTTGTGCTAAGGTAACGTTGGATATGAGCAACACAGAAAAATATGCTTAGAATTTACTACAAATTTCACTTACGCATTTATAGTAAAATATTCATGGACTTTGGTTGAGCAGTTCGTATAATTGTAAAATACAAAAAACACAAAAGTACGCTTAGGATTACCTACGATTTTCATTTACGCATTTATAGAAAAATATTTGGTTCAGCAGTTCGGCAGATTTGGAACTGGAACACTTAAAACATTATTACTGGTCCATTTCTTATTAAAAAATTGATACAAGTATTTATTACAAGAATTATAACTCTTTCAATATGTAATAACTAAAACTTTTTAATTTTTTCTATATTTCTGATTATCCTCTTATCTTTATATCTTATCTAACTGCAATACCGTATATGAAAAAACTTTGTCAAGATTAGTTTGTCAAAAGTAGTCAAAGTAAATTAAGTTTATTTTTCTAGAGTTTTATTAGCAACATTAGGAGGTAAGGTTCTAAATCGTATCTAAGTTTTTCAGGTCGCTCATCGAGCTCTTGACATGGCGAACAATTTTATCGCAGTTCTCACTTTGACGTTGCCTTTATTTAACTTATGTGATTATGCAGAACGGTTGAGAGAAGCTGTAAGTATCATTGTTTATTGCTAACTGTGTGGCCGAGCGGTCGCAAGTGCGACTGCGCAGCAATGAGGAAGTCAAGCCGAACAAGAGGTCTCGGGTTCAATTTCTGGATCAAGCAAAGTATAAATGGATTTAAAAAAAATCTCAGTTGTAGCACGGAGTCTAGAACTATGCTCGGTATACGGCAATAGGCTAGTACATGGGATTATACATATAACTTAAATAGTGAAAAGTGGGTGTCTCATTGTACAATGGCATTAAGTGCCGTAATGTGCACCTCTACTATCCTTTCAAGGATAAAGGGTGTAATGTTATGTATATGTATCATTTTATTACAGAGTGCAGGAATGGCAGATTCAGTATATAACAACTTGTGGTATTTAAGTGATAAACATTATCAAAAGCTTCTGTGGTTTATTTTGAGAAGGTATTTTTGAGCACTTCTTTTTATTACCTTATATATTGTAATGACTAT